TCAAAGCCAATATATCATCCACTATGATATGAGCCCCCGGTGGCGCAGTGGGTTAAAGCACTGAGCTGCTGAGCTTGTTGATCGAAAGGTCGCAGGTTCGATTCCAGGGAGCGGCATGAGCTTCCGCTGTCAGCCCTAGCTTCTGCCAACCTAGCAGTTCGAAAACATGCAAATGTGAGTAGATCAATAGGTACCGCTCCGGCGGGAAGGTAACGGCGCTCCATGCAGTCAATCACATGACCTTGGAGGTGCCTATGGACAACGCTGGCTCTTCGGCTTAGAAATGGAGATGAGCACCACACCCCAGTCAGACATGACTGGACTTAATGTCAGGGGACTACCTTTACCTTTACTATGATAAATCAGCCCTGGTTTGTTTATTTATTTACTTCATTTATATCCTGCCTTTCTCACTCAAGGCGGCTTACAGATTTGGCAAAAAATAAATGCCGCATATAAACATAACAATAAAAAATGTACCCCTTCAAATTATAAAAACAATCAAAACACATAAGCAAATACAACACATAGAACAATGAGAACAGGTTAAAAACATATAAAGTGCCGAGTTTTGATTCCATACTTATTGATTGATCCATAATCCTTTATTAGCTAATGCATGTCAAATGAGGATTTAGACGTAAACTCCCCACTCATCAGAACCTGCTTCTCAAACAGCTTGAATAGAGACACTCAACAGTTTTTTCATAATGGTGGCAGTAGCACTGTGTAACACAATCTTTGTTCCTGGATAATAAATGTCATTCCCTAATTGGTTTTACCATAAAAACATGGAAAATGTTGATTAAACTGCAAAAACATTGTTTTTTTGCAGGACACCCTGCAGCACATTTTGCTATAGTTTTTCAATGAGCATCTGGTAGAGACTCAACCAATTTAACAGAGTTTGTGGCAGCCACAAAAATGAAATTTCTGAAGTATAACAATTACTTTCAAAGTAAGTCCCGCACAATTGAGAGGGAAATAATGCTTTCAAACCAGGAACATTTCCCCCCCAAATTTTGTTACGTAGTTCATTTCACAAAAGGCTTCTTCTATGGGTTGTTGTAGGTTTTTTGGGCTATATAGCCATGTTCTAGAAGCATTCTCTCCTGACGTTTCACCTGCATCTATGGCAAGCATTCTCAGAGGTTGTGAGGTCACAATCTCTGAGGATGCTTGCCATAGATGCAGGCAAACCATCAGGAGAGAATGCTTCTAGAACATGACCATATAGCCCAAAAAAACCTACAACAACCCAGTGATTCCAGCCATGAAAGCCCTAGGCCATACATTGAATGGCTTCTTCTATGTTTTTCCTAAGTATGGACATTTTCAACATGGGAACAGAGCAAAACAAAGCATTCAGATTTTCCAAACTATGTTGAATGACATGTCTACACATCACATATTTTGGATATTTGTGACATTTTTTAAATGGCAGGCCTAAAAGGACCTTTGGTGTTTGGAAATGCATTTTAAAAAATATGCCCCTTTGAAAGCCAGTGTAAGTTGCTGCTGTTTGTATAGTAATAGTTGGAAGGCCACGTTTGCTGCCACGCATTCACTGATATGTGAGGCATGTTTGGACTATGTTCCTCATTTTTCATTCTTTGAATTGATCATAGGAGAAGGACCAGTTGAAATAAAGAGGTAATATTTTGAGTTTAAATGACAAAAAATAGTTGCAAAATTGGTGTGACGCAGCAGGAAGCAAGAGGATTTACAGAAGCTGGTCTTTTCAAGCAAATCTTTGAGATTTCGCGTGCCAACCTTTTGAACTCCCTTGTTCTACCCTGTGAACAGTTTGAAGAAAACCCATCCCCCCAAATTAAGCTCCGTGCCTTAAAGTTTAGTAGAATATAATAATAGTCATTATCTAGACATCATCTTGTAAAAAGGAGCACTTTAAATAATTTTTTTAAAGGTTAAGCTTTGCCCTCAGGTGCTCGGTCTTAAAGAGACAAATTTAGGAAGGTTAGGAAAGATGTATGGTTGGGAAGGTTAAGAGAATGTAAGAAGAGATTATTAGGGAGGGAAAGCCAAAGGGGAAAGTGTGCTTTCAGACATGGTCCATCTTTTGGGACTGGCAAAGACGTCCATCTGGCAACAGAGCACATCCCACGCTATGGAAGATTGAACAGAGACAGGGAATAGAAAAAAGAAATCTTTGGTTTTTAGTGAATAGATTTGCGAGCATAGTGGAACACGGTGAAGAGGCCCCTCCTTGCATAATATTATTTTCAGGTTTCTGAAAGAAAGTGCATCCTTGCTAGATTAATTAAATAGTGCTTCCAGATGGAGGACTCTTAGCACTCTTAATCAACAGACACTGTGCAGCTATTCCGTCTTTTTCATTCTTAATTAACTTTTTTTTTCCTGGTAAGAAAAGGATGGAAGAGGAATGGGGAAAACTTGCATGGATTAAAAATGGAAGATGATATTACATTCTCCCCACTACTAATGAGACAAGACAATGGCAAGACAAAAGAATTATCTGAAAGCACTCCAATACGATACAGACTGCAATATCCTTCTTTTGAAGTGCAATAGGTTGCTCCTTTATCTAGAAGTAAGGCCCATTGTGAGGCTTCGTCCCAGGTATTTATATGTAGGTTTCCAGTTGACAGGTCTTTTGGAAAACATCCGATGGATTCATATTAGCAGGTATAAGATTGCAGTCCGAAACTTAAATCCAATTGCTAGACATTGAATTAAAGTGTGTCTACATTATAGAATTAATGCCATGGGTCATTGCTATGGAATCCTGGGATTTGTAGTTTGTTAATATAGCAGGATTCTTTGGCAGAGAATCATAGAATCAAAGAGTTGGAAGAGACCTCATAGGCCATCCAGTCCAACCCCCTGCCAAGAAGCAGGAATATTGCATTCAAAGCACCCCTGACAGATGGCCATCCAGCCTCTGTTTAAAAGCTTCCAAAGAAGGAGCCTCCACCACACTCCGGGGCAGAGAGTTCCACTGCTGAACGGCTCTCACAGTCAGGAAGTTCTTCCTCATGTTCAGATGGAATCTCCTCTCTTGTAGTTTGAAGCCATTGTTCCTTGTCCTAATCTCCATGGAAGCAGTAAACAAGCTTGCTCCCTCCTCCCTGTGGCTTCCTCTCTCATATTTATACATGGCTATCATATCTCCTCTCATCCTTCTCTTCTTCAGGCTAAACATGCCCAGCTCCTTAAGCCGCTCCTCATAGGGCTTGTTCTCCAGACCCTTGATCATTTTAGTCCTCCTCTGGACACATTCCAGCTTGTCAATATCTCTCTTGAATTGTGGTGCCCAGAATTGGACACAATATTCCAGGTGTGGTCTAACCAAAGCAGAATAGAGGGGGAGCATTACTTCCCTAGATCTAGACACTATACTCCTATTGATGCAGGCCAAAATCCAGTTGGCTTTTTTTGCCGCCACATCACATTGTTGGTTCATGTTTAACTTGTTGTCCACGAGGACTCCAAGATCTTTTTCAGCTAAAGGCATCAATGAAACCATTAATTTGTTTGTTTGGTTGTAATCTGCATAGACTTTGGTTTGTTTGTTTGGTTGCATGCTGCATAGAATTTCATATATGCCGATGATTGTGCCATCACCGCTCAAGCAGGGAGCTTTGAAAAGGTTAAACAGAAGCTCTCCAAAGCTTTAGGTGCTCTTACTGCCTATTACAGGGCAGACCAGCTGATTCCTAATCCATCTAAAACACAGACATGTGCTTTTCATCATAAGAATAGACAAGCATCTCAAAGATTACCTGGGAAGGAATCCCATTGGAGCATTGCAGCACTCCAAAATACCTGGGAGTTACTCTGACTTATAAGAAGCATTGCTTGAATATCAAGCAAATAGTGGGCACTGGAAATAATATCATATGAAAGCTGACTGGCACAACCTGGGGATAACAACCAGACACAGTGAAGACACTTGCCCTTGCACTTTGCTACTCTGCTGCTAAGTATGCATGCCCAATGTGGAATGCATCTCACCATGTTAAAACAGTGGATGTGGCTCTTAATGAGACATGCCGCACTATCACAGGCTGTCTACGCCCTACACCACTGGAGAAATTATACTGTTTAGCCGGTATTACACCACCTGACATCTGCCAGGAAGTTGCAGCCAGTAATGAAAGGACCAAGGCATTGACATCATCTGTTCAGCTATCAGCCAGCATGCTAACATATTAAATCAAGAAATAGCTTCCTAAGATCTACAGAGATACTTGCAGGAACACCTCAGCAAGCAAGAGTCCAGAAGTGGCAGGTTAAAACCCAGAACCTCAATCAGTGGCTGAGAACAGATGAGAAACTCCTCCCTGGGCACACAGAAGACTGGGTGACTTGGAAAGCGCTGAACAAACTGCGCTCTGGCACCACAAGATGCAGATCCAATCTTAAGAAATGGGGCTACAAAGTGGAGTCCACAACATACGAGTGTGGAGAAGAGCAAACCATAGACCACTTACTACAATGCAGTCTGAGCCCTGCCACATGCACAATGGAGGACCTTTTCTCAGCGAACCCAGAGGCACTCCAAGTGGCCAGCTTCTGGTCAAAGGAAATTTAGTATAATGCCAAGTTTTTTTTTTACTTTGTGAGGTTCTTTTTAATGTTATTACTGTATTCTCAATTTGGTTCTGACACAATAATTTTTTAAAAAAACCAATGATTCCATAGCATAGAGCCATTAAAGTGAAGTTATACTGCATTAATCCTATGCCCTTCGTTACTGAATGTTACATCAACATTTACATAAACCTCTGATTCACTGAGTCTACTCTTATTGAAAATAGCAATTCAGTTTAGGCCTAAATGTCATAATTTTAACCCAGAAATTAATGTAGCCACATTTTTCTTGAATCAATTTGAATGTCCCTCCCTCCGTTCTTGAACTAGATTTTGTTTCTTTTTGTTGTTGTTGTTGTTGTTGTTGTTGGTTTTGTTTTGTTACAAGTGGTAATACCTTACATTTTTCTTTGATTATCTTGCAGTATCTGGTGTGCAAAAGGAAGCTCGAAAGTAAGAAGGAAGCTCTTCTTATCCTTTCCAAGGAATTGGACACATGTCAACAGGAAAGAGATCAGTACAAGCTCATGGCAAACCAGCTACGAGAAAAGCACCAATCGCTGAAAAAGAAATACCGGGAACTGATTGTATGTACCTGGCTTGAAATTCTTCTGTTAATATTTGCTAATAGCAAAACTCTTCCCTTGATATAATGTAGCCTACTTAGTTAAGCATTTCCTTGTCATACTTTTTGTTCTGTGTTCCTTTTTATTTTTATTGAGTAGAGATTGTGCAGTTAGCATTATTTAAAGCACTAATAGGAAGACCTTATACCTTTGAATAAAACTGCCCTCTAACAATCAAAATAGAGTGACTGCATTAAACTCCTTCTTAATGTAAACTTGATTACTTTATAAAACCTTGTTATTTTCCCCAGTGACATGTAAAGTGTCCTTTCTTGTAGGATGGAGATCCGTCTATTCCTCCAGAGAAAAGAAAACAGGTGGGTTTCATTTCTGTTTAGTGTGTATATAATGTGCTTCTCCGTGTCATTTGTCTTTCAAAGACGTTGTTGAACTGAATTGTTTGTACTACAGCATTGTGTACCTTCCCTGTTCAAGATATTTCATTAAACAAACAGCACATGCACAAACACATGTAAGTAATAACAGAATAATGTTGAGAAAATCAAACCAAGCTTGAGGTTTTTTTATCATGTCAGAAGCAAATTGAGAATATACTGCAAGTCACTTCTGGTGTGAGGAAATTGGCTGTCTGCAAGGATGTTGCCCAGAGGATGCCCGGATGTTTTATCATCCTGTGGGAGGCTTCTCTCATGTCCCTACATGGGAAGCTGGGGCTGACAGATGGGAACTCATCCCATCTCATGGATCTGAACAGCTGACCTTCAGGTCAGCAGTTCAGCCAGCACAAGGGTTTAACTCATTGCACCACCACGACTCAAGCTTGAGGTTCTTAATAGGGAAACATGAAACTATAGTAGCTAACATTCATGTTTCACTAAGCTTGAGATTCTAAAACAGGGGTCCACAAACTTTTTAAACAGAGGGCCAGGTCACAGTCCCTCAAACTGTTGGAGGGCTGGATTATAATTTGAAAAAATGAATGAATTCCTATGCACACTGCACATTATTTATTTATTTATTATTATTTATTATTTATTTACTTCTTTTGTATACCGCAAATATCAGCCTAAAAAGGCGACTCGAAGCGGTTTATATATAATTATTTGTATTATTTGTAGTGCGAAAACACTTAAAAGTAAAATAATTAAAATGAAGAACATTTTTAACAAATATAAACTTATTAGTATTTCAGTGGGAAGTGTGGGCCTGCTTTTGGCTGATGAGATAGGATTGTTGTTGTTGTTGTTGTGTGCTTTCAAGTAGTTTCAGACTTAGGTTGACTCTGAGCGCGGGCTGGGTAAATGACCTTGGAGGGCTGTATCTGGCCCCCGGGCCTTAGTTTGAGGACCCCTGTTCTAAAACATGCTTGTTGGCTACTATATCTGAAAGCTATTTTGGACACGTAAGTTTTTAAAAAGTGTGTTGAAGCATGAACAGAAGGTTCAAAGCATAACAAAGAGAGTTCCATAATGAGGGTTGGCACCACTAAACAAAGTCCTGCCACTTTTACTAATTTAAGATGAGCAAAATGTGGAGTTGGGATTTTTTGGTTAAAGGAAGTCCTTTAAATAAACCAATTAGAGCAGTGTTTCTCAACCTGGGGGTCAGGACCCCTGAGGGGGTCGTGAAAGGGTTTCAGGGGGGTCACCAAAGACCATCAGAAAACACATATTTATAATGGTCTTAGGAAACCTTTTGGCAGAGAAGGCTGAATATCTCTCTTCCTGTCCTTCTCTTTCTTTTTGGTGTTGGTGAACTACACCTCCCAGAATTCAAAAACAGCCCCCCCCCCCCAACCTCACTAGTAATCAATGTTAGCCATGTAGGTAGCATGTCGAGTTTAGTGCAGATCCCTTATGGGCTGGGTTCAAAATGCTCTTTGATTGTAGATTAGCTATAAATCCCAGCAACTTCAACTCCCAAATGTCAAGGCCTATTTTTCCCAAACTTCGGGCATATTGAGTATTCATGCCAAGTTTGGTCCAGATCCATTAATGTTTGAGTCCGTAGTGCTCTCTGGAGGTAGGTGAACTACAACTCTAAAACTGAAATCAATGCCCACCAAACTCTTCCAATATTTTCTGTTGTTCATGGGAATTCTGTGTGCCAAATTTGGTTCAGTTCCATAGTTGGTGGAATTCAGAATGCTCTTTGATTGTAGTTTAACTATAAATCTCAGCAACTACAACTCCCAAATGACACAATCAGTCTGTCCCCCCACCCCCAACCCCACCAATATTGAAATTTGGGCATATCATATGTGCCAAATTTGGTCCAGTGAATGAAAATACATGCTGCACATCAGATATTTACATTATGATTCATAACAGTAGCAAAATGACAGTTATGAAGTAGCAATGAAAATAATGTAATGGTTGGGGGTCACCACAACATGAGGAACTGTATTAAGGGGTCTCGGCATTAGGAAGGTTGAGAAACACTGAATTAGAGAATTACTTTGAAACCTTCCTGAAAACAAATTAAATCCGTGTAACTGGTGCAAAAGTGGTATTGTATACTCAGGGATCCATCTTTATTCCAGCAGTCACATGTTAATTATTATTGCATTTAGATACTGCCATTTTCCAGGTGTGGGGCCCAATGCAACTGAATGCTCACTATTATATTACTGATATATTATCAACTGTCATTTTCAAAGGAAACAGAGCAATTAAGATTTTGGAAAATGGAAATCTCTGTAACCTTTTGGAGATTTATGATCTTTGGAAAGGCATGCCTTGTTAGAAGTCACAACCTTTTGAAAAACCATGCCATAACTTCCTGGTAAAAAGCATAGCCTGTTAGAGTCATAACATTTTGGGGGAATGGCATTCATGCAAGGCAATTAGGTTTCTCAGCTGTTAAACTGATGTATCTAGGTATATCTTTGGACTATTAGGCAAAAAGATATGCCAATGCACAAAAACATAGACACACACACATGTAGCAGAGTTTCAAAGTGTTCCTTTTAGTTGTCCAAAGCCTTCTACTCTCCCTTAAAATATATTTGCCTTTAAATCATGCTCTCAAGAGACAACAATAAGAAAACGTTGTTAAAAGTAATATTGTTGGTTTCCTGACAAACTTCATGCATTCAGCACACAGGTACTTTGCATATCAATCCAGTTACAAATAGGATTTGGAATAGTTTATCTGCGTAGGTAACAAAGCACTACAAAGCCCTGAACGGTTTGGGATCCGCCTACCTGCATGACCGCATTTCTGTGTACGAACCCACGCATTCTCTTTGATCATCTGGAGAGGCCCTGCTCACGCTCCCACCTCCTTTGCAGGCGCGATTGGTGGGGACGAGGGAGAGGGCCTTCTTGGTGGTGGCCCCTCGACTCTGGAATTCACTCCCTAAGGATATCAGACATTACTTACTTACTTAGGCGATCCCTCGCTTTCCGAGGATGATTGTCTTCCAATATCTTGTGGGTCCGTATGTGGCTGTGGAGCCCTATTCTTGCTCTGCATCTTCTTCCGCAGTGAGGGCATTGGTTTCCAGGTGGAAGGCGGTCTCGGTCGGGGTTGGCTTGACGCACCTTCCTCTTGGCACGTTTCTCTCTTTCACCCTCCATTCGTGCCCTTCAAATTCTGCAGCACTGCTGGTCACAGCTGACCTCCAGCTGGAGCGCTCAAGGGCCAGGGCTTCCCAGTTCTCAGTGTCTATGCCAGAGTTTTTAAGGTTGGCTTTGAGCCCATCTTTAAATCTCTTTTCCTGTCCTCCAACATTCCATTTTCCGTTCTTGAGTTCGGAGTAGAGCAGCTGCTTTGGGAGACGGTGGTTGGGCATCCGGACAACATGGCCGGTCCAGTGGAGTTGGTGGCGGAGGACCATCGCTTCAATGCTGGTGGTCTTTGCTTCTTCCAGCACGCTGACGTTTGTCCGCTTGTCTTCCCAAGAGATTTGCAGGATTTTCCGGAGGCAGCGCTGATGGAATCGTTCCAGGAGTTGCATGTGACGTCTGTAGACAGTCCACGTCTCACAGGCATAGAGCAGGGTTGAGAGGACAATAGCTTTATAAACAAGCACCTTGGTATCCCTACGGATGTCCCGGTCCTCAAACACTCTCTGCTTCATTCGGAAAAATGCTGCGCTTGCAGAGCTCAGGCGGTGTTGTATTTCGGTGTCGATGTTGACTTTGGTGGTGGTGATATCAGACATGCCCCAACGCTGGCAGTCTTTAGGAGGAGCCTGAAAACATGGTTGTTCCAGTGTGCCTTCCCAGAATAAGGAAAACTCTTAGCAATATGTCCTCAAATGTACTTTAATACTGACTTAGGATTGTCTGCGCGCCCTCATCTTTCTCTGAAAACCCATTTCTAATTTGCCTTACCTTGTTCATGCCCAGCACTTTTTGATTTTAAATTTGAATTATTACATTTGGCCCTGCCATAGGTTTTTATTGTATGTTATTGTTATTGTTTATTGCTTATTGTGTATTTTCTGTTTTTGAGTTTATTTGAACTGTTTTGTATTGATGATTGTTATTGCTTTTGTTTATTGATGTGCTGTGGGCTCGGCCTCATGTAAGCCACACCGAGTCCCTTGGGGAGATGGTAGAAGGGTACAAATAAAGTGTTATTATTATTATTATTATTATTATTATTATTATTATTACACAGTACCACATAGTTAAACAGGAAATAACAATTTTGAACCGGAAACAATGTTTTTTTTAAAAAAATACTGTTACATAGTATTATTATTTTTAACTGTAGTCTTATGGGTGTTCACTGTTCAGCATAGGAGAGGTGTGCAGGCTTCAGTTTGCAAAACCTTGTTTGGTAATCTCCGTTTTAGCAGTGTTATTAAACATAGCTTAATTTTTTTCCCACCCAATTATTTTACAGATAAAATTGGCAATAATTTCTACGCTCTATCTCAGCTTGATTTGCTGGGAATCTTCATCCCAGAGCTTCAAAAGCATTTCATATGTGACAAGTCACTGCCATCACTTGAAAATTAATGGATGAAAGTTTGTTTCTATATCAGAAATGTAGTGCTAGCAGAGATCATCAATTTGTTTGGTTGATATTGAGCTCAAGGGTCTCTTACTAAGCAAAGCAGGTTTTACTGTATTAAGCTGGGTGCCAGAATCATCCAAAACCATTGAAGTAGAAATTGCAATAAAAATTGCTATCAATCACACTTCTGAAGAGCACTTGATGTTTCATCAGATTTTTCTACCTGTTCCCCTTTATTCCAGTTGTCTAACTTGAAATGTATGCTTAAACACTGGAAAATAATGCAAGCGTCTTGGAGATTTGAGCGTGATTTGAACCTTTCTGTCTAAACAGTTTTCATACTGCTGTTGCTCACCTCTTCATTTCCCTCTTCACCCGTAACCTA